TTATGAAGGAGAAACTGGCCAGGTGTAGTGGCACACACCTGTAATCTCAGCACTGGGGAGGCTGCAGCAGGAGGATCGCTGCGAGTTTGAGGCCAGCCTGCCCTACAAAATGAGCTCAAGTCCAGCCTGAACTACATCGTGAGACCTGGTCTCAAAAAAACAAAAAAGAGAGAAACTGATTTCAGATAATTTATGGAATTGAGAATTTTGAGAGGACAAAAAACAAAGCATAAGGCAATTTTCTTATGGAGCTGGATACAGACATCCCAGGAAGAAAGGTTGGAGGTGCCAATGTTTTAGAATTAAGAGTTTTTGTGTTTGGATTTTTTTTTTTTGGTACCGGGGATCAAACTCGGGTCCTTTAGCTTGCATAGCAGGCGCGGAAACCACTGAGCTAAATCCCAGCCCCCTACTCCTAAAAATAAACACACACACACACACACACACACACAAACCCATGATGTATAATACAATACAGTATTATCATCCATTAAATAGGAAGGAAATTTTGACACATTACCACATGCATGAACCTTGAAACTATTGTGCTAAATGAAATAAGCTAACCACAAAAGAACAAATATTTTATGATTCCACCTTTTTGAAGTTCCTAAATTGGTCAATTTTCATAAAAATTGTCTCTTAGGGCTGGGGATTTAGCTCAGTGGTTTCGCCTCCTGCTGCGCAAGCGCAAGGACCGAAGTTTGCTCCTCGGTACCAAAAAAAAAAAAAGTTTTTGAGCTTTTTCAGAATCAAGGGTTTCAGAGTTGTGAGGCAGCTGAGATTAATTTCTGGGGGGAAAAGGTTAATTATGGGTAGAAAGGGCTATTCTCCACTGATTGGACAACAGGGGAAGGCAGTGAGAGAGGGAAAGGAGGCAGGGACAGGGTGGATGAGTACAGAGATGGTGACCCAAAGGGGCTGGTGATGGGTGCGGATTTAATCCAGTTTTATGATATGCTATTCAGAGCTTTAGGCCTTTCACCCCTCTTAGAGTCATGTCTTGTGTGACTGTTTGCATCTTTTCCTACCAAATAACAGAGGCCAACTGTGGAAAAAAGAAGGAGCAGGCTGTTGGACTGGGCTCAGATTGCTGGCTGCTTCACAAGCATCAGATTCTTACTCCCTTGAGGGCTCTGAAGAGGCAGCAGGCACGTGGTTCCCGGGCTAAATTCAGCAGGCGGAAGAAGGCAGTGGGGGAGGGAAGGCAGGTGGGGAAGGCAGGGCTGCACAGGGGGAGGTACTGGCAGCTTCCACATCTGGCTTACAGCACTGTAGGAGGGAGATCTCGCCACTTCCCCTCTCATCATCTTTCTCCCTCTGTCTAATCAGATTTGTGTTTATTTAGAATCCAGCCTGTGCTGTCAGATTTAGTCCCAGTTTTCAGCCATCCGCTAGGTCTGATGAACCCTGAGTCCAGTTTCCAGACTTGGTCTGGTTGGGGTGAATCACAAAGAAGCCCCAGGGGAGGAGGAGGCTGCACTTACCAGGGTCTTGAGTGTGTGCTAAGAGGGCTGGGAAGAAATGCTGCTGCTGAGGCGGGGGCTTGGAGCAGGACCTCCCTGAGGACTCCTGCCCTGGACTCATCCTCCCGAGAGTCCCTGGAATTAACCCTGGGAAGATTTTTATTCAATCATTATGGCAGAGAGGGCTTATTTAAGCCCAGTAATAACAATTTTCCTTCAGCTAACACAGCCACTGCTTTAGCCAAAGACACTTTAGTACTTTATATTTACCTCATGCATTCTTCCTGCATGAGAATTTTATAGATGAAGGGAACTGATTCCAGACTTGCTTTTTATTTCTTTAGCTTATTGATATAAGCGCCCAGAGAAGGAAGGGAATTCACCTACTGAGCACCTAAAATTGTCCAGGTCCTGGGTCTCTATCCTTTCCTCTATTATCCTATTTTTTTTTTCTATTATCCTATTTATTGTTTGTAACAACTCCATGAGGAAATTACTGTCACACTGTTTTTAGATGAGGAAACTCAAACTCTAAATGAAGTAACGTACTAGGGTTACAGTTGTTATGGAGAGGTTGAGATTCAAATCTCACCTTATAAAGATTCAAAAATGCATAATTTTTTCAACATACTTTGCTTGTAGTGGAACACACCTGTAATCCCAGCACTCTGGGAAGCTGAGGCAGGAGAATCACAAATTGGAGCCCAACCTGGGCAATTTAGCAACTTAGTGAGACCTTGTCTCAAAATAAAAAGTAAAAATGGTTTAAGGATGTAGCTTAGTGTGAAGGACCTGGTTTCAATATACAGTACAGTAACACACACACACACACACACACACACGCACACACAAAGGAAAAAAAGTCACTCATTAAATGTCTAAGATATGAATTCACGGGCTGAATTCTGAGTTCAAAAATGAAGGACGTAGGGCTGGGGATTTAGCTCAGTGACTCCACCGCCTGCTCCGCAAGGGCAAGGACCCGAGTTCGATCCCCAGTACCAAAAGAAAGACAAAAACAAAAAAACCGGATACAAAAAATGAAGGACATGATCCCTACCTTCAAAGACTTCACAACTGTGTAGAGGGATGTACAACTCAGCAGACAATTGAAATATAATGTAAAGTGACACACTGAGGACATTTAGGAGACTTGAGCAAGTGATGGGTCCTAATTCAGAGTCCATGGAAATAGCCATTAAAGAAACCATGCCCACCACATCCCTGGTCATGTGGAACACAGAGGTCCAGAAGAGTAAGCTGACACTGTGGGTGGGTGCTGCACTTAACATGCATTATCACACTGAGTCTTCACAACCTTAACCTTGAGTTGAGCTTTGAAAGGGATCTCCAGGCATGGTGCCTCCTTTTCTGTAGCATCCCTCCCCCACAAGTAGGACGATGTTCAGAGAGCCACAGGATACAGTGATAATAAGAGCCTTCAAGTGTTACTCAGCCTGGAGCCAAGGCTCAGGCCCTACTCTGGGCCTGACTGAGGGGAGACAGGGGAAACGGGCTGAGCTGGTGCAAACACAGTGTCCAGTATCCAGTCTGCCTTTCACTACAGATCAGCAGCACAGGAAACTTCATCCCCTATACCCCTTTTGTGCTCAGAAGGATACTGAATGTCAGTCTTGTTTGGCCCCCAAACTTCCCTGTAGTGCACAGAATACATGCCAAGAACAACCAACCTTGATGATCTTGCCTGCTTCACCCTAGCTTTCCAGATTGTTTCCTTGTGTTCTTTCAGGAAACATTAGTCAAGCTGCACCTCCACTGTGCTCTTCCTTGCTCAAGTCAGCAAGAGTATTTTCAAACCTGATCCTGTGTGGCCCTCAGTTAGAGTCCCCAGAACTTGGATGTCACAAGGATAACAATAACCAGCTTTAACTGAGAATTTAGTAGAAGTTGGATCCTGTCCTAGATTAGGTTACCTAGTCCTCAAGCCAACACAGGAGATATTGTTACTCTTATCATTTAATAAGAGAAGAAAATAAAGCTCAGAGAGTTTCAGAAACTTGCCTAGGGACAAATGGCCAGAGACAGAGCTGAGATGGAACCTGAGTATGTTTCATTCCAAAGTTTTCCCGTGTTGATTCAGTGTCTGAGAATGAAACTAGCAAATATCAACACTTAACGGGTGAAACATTTTCAGTCTACCCTCAACATGATCTGTGGATCTGCAGCTGGGCCAGCTAGAAACACTCAACCCCCTTAAAAGAAATTTGTTTGTTTGTTTATTTATTTATGTTGTTGTTGTTTTGAGACAGGGTCTCCCTTTGTAGTTCAGGCTGGCCCTAAACTCACTATGTAGTCCAAGCTGCTGCCTCAGACTTCCAAGTGCTGGGATTACAGGCATGTGCCACCATACCTGGCTTCTTAAAAGGAATTTAATTGGTACTAGCAAAATATGACTCAGGTGAGTTGAAACTTGGTTATGGCAGCGGCCTAATTAATGAGATAGCTTAAATTTTTGTCCTTTTGTAGGATATGATACAAAAGTGATTTTAGGGCTGGGGATTTAGCTCAGTGGTTCCGGCGCCTGCCTCGCAAGCGGAAGGTCCCGAGTTTGATCCTCAGTACCAAAAAAAAAAAGTGATTTTAGGTTAAAATAATTTATTTTAAATTAACATAATTAAAGGCAACATTATACAGTTAGGTTTATATATCTTCAATAAAGTATTATATAGTTAAATTTATAAATCTTCAGTAATACTTGGAATATAAATAATATTTTACATTTCTTCATGTAAGTAGTGATACATATTATTTAATTTAAAAGTATAAGAAAAATATTATTTGTCCAGCTGGGTACAGTGGCACATAACTGTACTCCCACCACTCTGTAAGCTGAAGCAGGAGAATTGCAAGTTTTAAGGACAGCCTGGGCAATTTAAAGACCCTATCTAAACAAACAAAAGTCTGGCCAGGGTCTTAGCTCAGTGGCACCATGCTTGCCTTGAAAGCACAAGGTCCTGAGTTCCATCCCTGGTACCAAACAAAACAAAACAAAACAAAAAAACAAACAAAAAGTCTGGAGATGAAGCTGAGTGGTCTGAATTAAATCCCCAGTGCCTCAAGAAAATTCTTAAATTGATATTTGGGGTCCTTACATTTTGTTTATGAATTCTTGTATTGTATTTTTAAAAATTAACTATGCTTATAGTGTTTCTAATTAGTGGACATAGATTTTGTTTCTAAGAGATAATGTTTTTTGAGCTACTATGTGTATTCATTTTTCAGATGACACTTGTAAGTAAAGGTAATCTTTACTTCCCCTAACTGAGGAAAATATAGCTCAGAGCAAAGGCCCTGGGTTCTTTTTTTTTTTTTTGTACTAGGATCGAACTCAGGACCTTGTGCTTTTGAGGCAGGCAGCAGAACCACAGCTAAATCCCCGCCCTGCTTCCCCTAACTGAAGAAAGAAACCAACTGTACGTAGTTGTTCTTATCGGCAGAATAACAGTGTTAATGGATATAAACTGAATACAAATCCTGTTGCCACTTCTTAATAACTGTTTTCCTGGACACCAGGACTCCAAGATGGCCTCCGTCGAACCAGTGAAAGAGAAGAAACTCATGGATGTCAAACTAGGGGAGCTGCCCAGCTGGATACTGATGCGGGATTTCACCCCTTCAGGCATTGTGGGAGCATTTCAGAGAGGTTACTACCGGTATTACAACAAGTACATCAACGTGAAGAAAGGGAGCATCGCTGGGCTTAACATGGTGCTGGCAGCCTATGTGATTTTTAGCTACTGCTTTTCTTATAAGAAACTCAAACATGAGCAGCGACGAAAGTACCACTGAAAAGGGCCAGTGTGGAGGGCACACTGTGCACTCTAGACTGTGACTGCCTCATCCTACTCCCATCTGTGAACAGCTTACTCATGGCTGAATCTGTTCACAGCCTAAATGAGAATTAATGCTCAATAAAAGGTGACTGGTATAAAAAAAAAAAAACAACTGTTTTCTTCTGGGTGATTTATTCTCTCACTATTTCAATTTCATTATTTTAATGAGGGAAGGGGTGAAATAAGAAAAAACAATAGTGTGTTGGGGGTGTGATGGTACCCACCTGTAATCCCAGCATTTGGGAGGCTGAGGTAGGAGGATTGCCACAAGTTTGAGGCCAGCCTGAACTGCATAATGGAACCCTGTCCCAAAAAAACAAAAAAGAGCTGGGGATGTAGCTCAGTGGTGCCATGCCTGCCTGGCAAGTACAAGGTCCTGAGTTCAATTCCCAATACTAAAGGGGAAAAAAAAGTAAAAAAAGAAAGAAAGAAAAAAAACCCATTTATGTATGGTGTTGTAAAAATTACATGAGCTAACAAAACAAAAATTTTAAAAAAAGAAAATTGAGTTAATCCATGTAAAATCCACTTTAGAAAACCTGGAAATTACTAGAGAATTAGAAAAACAGGTCACTGAACCTTAGTAATTCAATGGACTGTGGCTAATCCCAATGGTGCTTTTCTACAAATTAGAAAAGCTGGTCTATTCTCAAGATGCTTATAGGGCCGGGGATTTAGCTCAGTGGTTCCAGCGCCTGCCTCGCAAGCGCAAGGTCCTGAGTTCAATCCCCAGAACAAAAAAAAAAAAAAAAAAAAAGATGCTTCTCTACTACCAGCCTGAAATTGTGAGGAGCACCAATTTGGAACTACCCTGGACATCAGGCAAAAGCCAAAACTGTCCTGAGCAAAACAGGACTTTTGGTCACCTCGACTTTGGAGGTCAGTGTAGATATTTTCAATTTAAGGCTGTTACTGATCATGTTGAGATGACAGATTTATTTAAATATTTTTCCCTATTTAGAATTTCACTGGATTCCAGCACCTACCAGGCATCGAGAGGGCATGTGTTGAATAATGAATGAATGGGGAAGGCAGAGAGAGTGAGAGAGGGGAATGGGGGCAGACAGAGAGAAGGGAAGACAGAAAGACAATGATTTAGCAAAGGATATGTTAAATTATTTTCCAAAAGGATTATGTAGTAGTGGCTATTTCAGTTTGTGTTCACTTAGATGAAAAATAATATCTCACGTTAGTAAGGATGAATATTATCCCAATGTTTGTTCATTTGTTTTGACTGTTGCTGGGTGTGGTAGCACATGCCTGTAATCCAAGCACTCAGGAGGCTGAGGCAGGAGGATAACCATAAATTTGAGGCCAGCCTGGGATACACAGTGAGTTCAAGGCCAGCCTGATCTATTATAGGAAGACCCAGTCTCAAAAACAAAACATATGTTTTGACTATTTATTGGGACTATAAACTTGTATAAATTAGTAAAGGCACTAACTACTTACTATAATTTTTTTCTTACAACTGTGTTTTCAGTCTGATTTTTATTTCTATTATTCTCGTTCATATGTGTTTTTTAATCTTCATGTAGAGGGCTGGGGATTTAGCTCAGTGGTTCTGCTGCCTGCCTCACAAGTGCAAGGACATGAGTTTGATCCCCAAGACCAAAAAAAAATCTTCATGTAGGGAAATTTATTGATATTTTGTTCTGTAATTTGTTCTATCATATTAAATCTTTTTTTTTTTTTTTTTTGTACCAGGGATGGAACTTGGGTCCTTGCGCTTGTGCAGCAGGCAACGAAACTATCATATTAAATCTTAGAGATTCCTATTCCTGACAATAATCTGGTAGTCGTTCCTATTTTTCTTGCTCTTTCATTCTGGATTTCTTTTTTGAATATGTGTATTTCTTTAATTCACTTGGAATTAGTTTATTTATAAATTAGCTATTCTAATACCATTTGTTGAACATTTCTTTCCCTTCTCATTGATTTCTGATGTTCTCTTATGGTGAAAATTCACATACAAAGGATCTATCTCTGAGCTGTCTTCCTTCATTCGGTAATGCTTTATACACTAGCTTTTTTGACCTTTAAAATCAGCCCAAAATTTAGGAGCAGCTGTAGTGGTAAATGTCTTCCAGACTAAAGTGCTGTGTGGAAAAAGCCTGGAAAGACATTTAATTCACCGTGGGGGTAAGATATGATAGCAATTGAATCGCTTATTGTGATCATCACAGGCTAAGGAAGACCTCTTTCTGCCTAACCCCTATGAAAAATACAGACAGAGAAAAAATAAATAAATGTCCTACAAACACAGCATGTTATCCCTAAAGGAAAGAGGTAACAGAGTGAGATATTACTATTAATCCAGTGTGTCTGTTATTAAGAGAGGCGATCTAGATACTGATTAGATGTGCTGGAAGAATCTACCCAGGCATTAAACCGAAACCTTCAGAAAGGTTATTTGCTTGGATGTTCAGTAACAATGGAGTAATGGAGTGTGGGCAGCTAGCTGCATTCCAAGGAGATGAAGGAAGTGGCACGGCCATTGAGACACCTAGTGGTGAGGGTCTTCACTGCACCGGAGAGTTTTCCAGTTGGGCCCAACCAAGAACTACTTTCTTGAAGGCTGGAGCAGGTGGATGAATTTTGGGTGTTTAGATGACCTCCTCCATCTTTTCTTTTCTGTCCCCAAACAAAATAATTTCAGGTCTCTACAGAGTGAAGAGAGCTTCAGAACCAAGTGCTGAAAGATCCAGAAAACAAATAGCCTCAGCAAAATTGGAAGAGAGAACTATGAAGCTAATTTAGCACATGCTGATCAAGACAGTTTCTCAAGGGCCAGGGATTTAGCTCAGTGGTTCTGGCGCCTGCCTTGCAAGCGCAAGGTGCCGAGTTCAATACCTGGTACCAAAAAAAGAAAACAAACAAAGATGGTTTCTCAAGTCCTGGGGTACAGTTGGAGATGTAAATTTAGTTAATTCAATTAATATTCACTAGGGAAGTAGGAGTGTGTTTTATCAAGCACTTCACCTCTATCTCTTACCCTTCTAGGCCTCATAAAAACCTCAAACCAGAAGATAATTATAACTTTCATTTATTGTAATTATAGTGTTTGAATTGTAAGTTCACCCACATTCAAAGGACTACAAGATGAAGATTGTTCTACATGCCATTCAAGCATGATAATTTACCCCCATTTGAACTACAGTTATGTATAATATCTGGAATTAATCATTTATATCTTCAGTGACTCAGAAAAGGAGAGATTAATGGATTCACTCAAATACATATTGAGTATCTTAGTGCTGGGCTACAGGGATTTGGTAGTTAAAAGAGAATCTCAGTGATTGCCCTCATGATCTTATAGTTTTGAGTGTATAAGTTAGAAAGTCTCTACAATAAAATGGGGTGAATGTTCTAAGAATCTAAGTAAGGATGCTACAAAAATGAAGCCATTGGTCCTCGGAGTCACAGGAGGCCTCCAGACAAGTGTGAGTATAAGTCAAGTTCTGAAAAATAGACAATAAGAAGTAACAGCATAAACTAGGGAGACAGTGGCCAGGGAGAGATAGTTCAGGTGAGAGCGTAGTAAATTAAAATAATGAGAAGGCAGTCAGTGTGATTTGATTATGGCAAACAAGGCAAAAGAGGGATAGAGGAAGCTAAAAGGAAGATTAGGAGTAGGAGGTTGTATTTCCTCTCAAGGACCCTGAAAAGACAATGAGGAGTTCATGTAAACTCTTTTTTTTTTTTTTTTTGGTTCGGGGGATTGAACGCGGGTTCTTTCGCAACACTCAAAAATCATGTAAACTCTTTTTTTTTTTTGGTACTAGGGATCAAACTCAGGACTTTGTGCTTGCCAGGCAGGCGTGGTGCCACTGAGCTAAATCCCCAGCAAAAGCCTTTAGTTTTTTTTTTTTTTTGGTACCAGGGATCGAACTCTGGTCCTTGCACTTGTGCAGCAGGTGGTGAAACCACTGAGCTAAATCCCTGGCCCAACTCTTTTTTTTTTTAAGAGGGGCCCTCACTGTATTGCCCAGGGTGGCCTTGAATTCCTGAGCTTAAGTGATTCTTCTGCCTCAGCCTCTCAAGTAGTTGAGGCTACAAGTGCACACCACTACCACTGTGTGCCCAGTCAATGCAGAGTTTAAAAGTGGGGAGAGGAGTGCCAGATTTGATTTTTGTAATGATAGTTCTGGTTGCTCCTGGAAAATGAAAAGGAAGAGAGCAGTTGCACTGATCAGTTTGAACACTTTTGCAGAAGTCTAGGTAGGAAACTGCCACTAAGTTAGTTTGGGTGATAGTGGTGGTGGTTTTTTCATCTGTAAAATGAGAAAAACAATGCCATCTGCAGAGTTGTAATGAGAATTCAATATTAAGTACTTATTAGAGTGTCTAGTATAAAATAAACAATCAATTTTGGCTATTGTTATGATCTTGGCTATTATTTGAGGGAAGATTTTCTTTCTCTTGCATTGCTAGGGAATGAATTCAGGGTGTAATTCATGCTTGTTAAGTGCTGACTGAGTTGTATCCCCAAGCCTTAGAAATTTTTTTTTCCTAGAAATTTCTTATCATATGAAAGAATTAACCTTTTAGTACGCACAGGAAAGCTTTAATAGGGTGGGAGTGAGTGAGGGTGAAGTTTTATCCTGGAAGTTTATTCATTACTTGAATCTTTTATAGTTAACAAATAGGAGTGGGGATTTAGCTCAGTGGTTTCGCTGCCTGCTGCGCAAGTCCAAGAACCCGAGTTCAATCCCTGTTACCAAAAATATTTATATGTGTGTGTGTGTGTATATATATATATATATATATATATATATATATATATATATATAGTTAACAAATACATAATGTACTACTCATGTAACTTTTTTTTTTTTTGGTGCTGGGGATTGAACTCCAGACCTTGAGCTTGCAAGGTAGGCGGTGGAACCACTGAGCTAAATCCCTGGCTCTACTTGTGTAATCTTTAAACACTGATAGGTATGGCCTGCCTGTAGTGGCATATGCCTG